TGTGATTTAGTGCATAGTGAGTCCCCACAGCTTCCTTTTCCCAGGGCAGATTTTTTTTTTCCCCTCTTTTTTTACTGTCAAACCCACTAAAGTTGCATGTTAAAAAATAATAATAAAATTAACTTCAGGCAAGGAGAGTCTGGATCACAGGCTGGGTTTCCATGCTGGTCTCCAGATGCATGGGTCCATACATGCCTTGCTGGTTTAGAGGGCAGCCCTGTGCTCTTGTGCTGCTGGGGCACACAACTTTCAACAGTTCTTGTCTTTCCAGAGCAAACAAATCCTGTCCTCTCACTGCAGGTGTCAGGCTGCCTCTGCAACCCATTTTGCTGTAAATCATAACCTGACCCTGCAGAGTTCTGGGCTGGAAAATTGGGAGAATGTTTCCAGCATGAGGGCTTCTGACCTGCTGCTCTGTGGAGCTGCTGATGGTGCTCAGGAGATTTCTGGAGTCCCTTTGTATTTGGTCCTCTGAGAAGGATTTAGCAGCCCAAAGGATTCTGCGATTTCCACTAAATCTGAGGTTTTTCTTCTAGGTCACAGAGCGCCTGTGTTTTGTAACACAAAATGTTTGATACCTTGACTGTGTCGTAGTCTGTATCTCCTCAGGAGGTGGTTCTGCTCGGACCCCGCAGGCTGAGCAGCTCTGCCTGCGGTCAGAGCAGGGACGGGAGCTGCCCCGGGCCGGTGCAGGGTGCCCCAGGGAGGGACACCAGCCACCCAGGAGGGATGCTCATCCTCTGGGCCTGGGAGCACAGCACAGCAGAGCTGGCCGGGGTTCAGCTGCCAAGTCAAGGCTTGGGGATCTGGCGGAGATTTTTGCAAGTGCTGTGGGAAGCTGATATTAATGTCAACACCAGCTCTTTTCTGACTCCTTTTAACTTCTTTGATAACAGTTGGAAAAAGCCTTTCTCAGTACCTCTTGGAAGACTGAGATGTGAAGGAGCTGTCAGACAGTGCTCTAGAGAGGTGTCTGCTCTGTTGAAATGCTTCCTATATATGGTGATTGCAGAGATTTGGGCTGAAATCAGATATTCATGTGGTGGCTAGTGTTCTGCAGCCTGGCTGATACTCCACTCAACATTTTTTCCATTGCTCGCATTCCTCTGGTTTCTGTTCAGAGAAGACTCGAAGCAGGCTCCCTGCTGCTGCTTGCAGGTAGGTTGCTCAGCCAAGCTGCAGAGCGCAGGACATGCTTATAAACAATGAGTGGAAAATCCCTGTATTCCAGCCCATGTTCCCTTCCTCGCTTCGGATTTATCCAAGATCTGTTGAAGTTGGAAGGCATTTTTGCATCCGTGTCAGTGGGGCTTTGGGACAGGGTGAAACTGGAGATGTGTCTCCTTAACGCCTCTCAGCAGTAAGCAGTTCTGTGGCCTGCTGGCTTACCCCGAGAGCCTGCACAGAAGTTTCAAAGGCAGTTATTTAAAGGGTCACACTCATCCTTGGCTGACAGACCGTAACGCACTGATTGCAGTAGCTCATGTGCCTGTATGTCACTGTTTGTTGCACATCTGATCCTATGTTTAATGATAGTATGAAACTACTTGAACTGTTAGTTGTCCTTGTTCTTGGTTTTTCCTGTCTCTGTGCTCCACAGTGAGTGCTTTCCCATGGTTTTTTGTGAGTGTCCATCTGCTATGTTTAAAGGCAATACATACCCTGAAAATGAGAAGGAGGTGAAACTTTTGCCTGAGTCTCCAGATAGCCCACGGTCCTCCATAAGGATGAGCTTCCTCTCTTTTCACCTGGGAGTGATTGTTTGCCTTAAAACCCAGTAGGAATATTTGATCTGCAAGGTTCCCTTAATGCTGTCAGGGCTGGTGAGGTGGGAGCACATCCCTGCTCCTGACTTACGAGTAGTGCAGGATAGAGGGTGTTCAGGTGGTTGTTGCTGAGGTTCTTTGAAGAAGGAATCATGAATTCATAGCCTTGGAAAGTGAGTCCCTCTAACGTGAGAGAAGGAGGGTGCTGAATCCCCTCCTCAGAAGAGAGATTAGTGAGTTTAGCTGCATTGTTACACATAGGGAACCTATAAAGGAGGGGAACTTTAGGGATTCATGCATGTTATTAGACATGAGATGATGCAACCTTGAGACGTGAAATCCCAGGAAATGCGGCAGTTTGTGTCATCACTCACGGAAGTTCTTGCCTTACATTATTTATGAGCACTGCATCATCTGGAGCCACCAACTGAGATGGAGACCTTTTTGTGCTATACACTGCACAATTATCCAAAGATTCTTTCTTCTCCAGGGTTTGTAGTCAGATACGCTGTGCAGAAGAGGTAGGCTGAAGAGGCTTGTGCAGGGAGGAAGCAGAGAGCTCCAGTGCCTTGCCCAAAGTTGCAAGAGGGTGAGAGGCTGAATGGGATTCAGATCCCAGGGGGCCATGGCCAGTGTTACCCAAAAGCTTTGTCTGCCCGCCCCCCCCCCTCCACCTCTTGTCTGTGCTCTAAGGAACCACTGAAAGGAGAAAAAGGATCCTGATGGCCAATGCCAAACTTCTCACTTGCTGGAACCCAGCTTTAAGCTCGGCAGGTCTCCATGATGCAGCAGCACAACACTACTTCATTCCTGCTGTTCTTGAGACAACTCCAGCAACTCTGCTTAGCATCTCCTAAGGGATCTGGCATTTGCAAACAGCCAGGACAGTGCTTCCAAATGTGTGGAAAACATTATCCAGATCCCTATTTTTAAGATGGCCTTGGGTTTGGTTTTGGGGTTTCTGTGTGTTTATTTTTTTGTTGTGGCTTTGGGTAGGTTTTTGTTGTTGTTGTTTTAGACTGTAGCTTTTTCTGAGAGTTTAGAGCCGAGCAGTGATCCCTAGGACTGTGCTGCTGCTGTAACCTGGCTGCCTGACAGTTGTGCGAGAAGGAACTGCAGCGAGCAACACGATGTGCTGTGTCAGGCGTGGCTGAGCTGTCGGCCCTTAGCAGAGCACTGGCCGAGGAGAGCTCCAGCATCACCTTTGCAGCATTTAAAATGCGAGTGCAGGACGTGGCCAGCCCTGTGTGCAGGCAGCCTCGCAGTGGGGCTCACGGGGGAGCTGGTGTGCTCTTGGGCTGGGACTAAGGAGGCCCTGAGCCAGGCCTAGGTCACAGCTGTGTTGTGTGATCAGGCCTCTCTTGAAGCCTCAGTTTCCCTTCCTGTAAAGTGGAGAAATCACAGTGATCTCCTTTATAGTGAGCTTAGAGATTTAGGACTTGTCACCTTCAGTTAAGAGAACACCAATTGCTAGAAACACTTAAGACATTTATTTTGCCTCCCCGAAAGTTGGAAATGTGAGTGGCAGGAGTGCGAAAGCTTGGCCAGAGCGGTGCCGTCTCGGCAGGGACCGGGAGCTCTGTGTTGGCCGATTGATTGCAGGAATCTGCAGGGTGTTTCTTCCTTCTGAGGAGCCCTTTGCTGGTGGTTGGCTCTTGTCTTGCAAAAAAGGATTTTGGTTGTGTCTTTGTAAACCATTTTTGGCCTCTCTGTTCTCACTGCAGATGTCTATCAGCTCTCTTTAGCCCTTGAACTCTGCTGCTGGCAGCGAGGGTACCAACACTCAACTATACCTTGCACAGAAGGGTGTCTCTTCATCAGGATCCTTCCTGAGCAGTTTATTCCTGGAGCGCTGGGTCCCTGTCTCCTTGGGCAGGCTGGGACAGCCTGTAAGTGCAGGCAGCACCTTTCAGCTGCAAGGACGAAGGGGCAGCTTGGGAGGAGAGCTCAGTGCCCTGCTGAACCCTTGTCTTCTCTGGTGGATACTTCTGCTCAGGCCAGAAGCATCTCTGTACGATAGCAGAGAGGGAGGTGCAGCTCCTTCCTATGGGTATCCTGGCTCCAAAGGAGAGATTTTGAGAGCATCTTGTCAGATTCGTTGGGACAACAGCATCATTTTGTGCCCTGAAGCCAGAATCAGGTTTCAACAGAGGTTAAAGAAAGCAAACTCCATGTGTTTCTGCGGATTATTGTTGTGTAATACTTGACTTTGCAAACTTGAACCTCGAAAAAGACTGTGTAAACAATGGAGGAAGATAAATGAGCCCCTCTGCTGACTTCTAGGGGGAGAGGGTTTCTCTTTCTGGGAGATGATCCAGACTTTGCTGGTTGTGTCTGAGCAGAACCTGGGAGTAAGATCTAGGATCACAAACGTTACTTGAAGTAAGGTTTCTTTCATGGTTTCCTTGACCCCGTAGCTCAGACCATGCTGGAAAGGGCTCCTTTAATGCAAACATAACTAAATCAGACATGGGACTTTTTCTTTCTCCTAAGATCTAGCCCTGGCTTTTGTGTTCAGTAGTACAGCCCAGGGCTTTTAAATTAAATAGCAAAACTCCCACTGAGTTCATCACAAGAACAGGATGAGGCCTCTGCTCATTGCACTTTTGAATACGAGGCAGCCTTAAGTTCTGGGGGTGCAGGGAAGTTTAGGCTTGGGTTGCTTGGCTGGAGGTGCCAGAAATCACTGCAGAGCCTGCCTGGGAAAGGGGTTCCCTTTCTGCCACTCCAGCTGATGAGGATGTGGGGCTGCTGAGCTTTCAGGGGGCACCTCAGCCTTCATCTGGAGGTGGGTAGTCCTGGGGGGAGGAAGGCAGTTGCAGGCTGTGTAGGGTGGCTCTGCTGGGACTGCCAGTCACCACTGGTACACACTCATTTTAAAAAGACTGACCTGTATCATGGCCAGTGGCATGCTGTCTTAGAATAGTTGCCTGAGAAGTCTCATCTGCTGTTAAAATAGTCGTATACTTGTAAAAGCAACTAATGACTATGGGTATTCCAATATTCGGGTGATTGAGGAGTTACTTTAAAAGATAATCATATTTTTAGAAAATGCTGAACACTCATCCGGGAATCGTTTGAAGGAACCTGACTTTGTCCTTGCACTTCCTTATGAAAATCCAGGTTTATGTGAGTTTAGGTAAATACTGGGACTTAATGCCACAGGAGAGTGTTCCCTGAGCCTCGTAAAATATATACAACAAATTTAGCTCTCTTTCTGTCTTTCTTCCACAGAGCAAGCTTCCCATGACTAACAAATGCTGGCCTAGATTATGAGCTCAAACAAGAACGCTCGCTACAATCGTTTCTCCAGTGGCACAACGAACATCACTACTTCTGAAAACACTAACGGGGTAAGGCCCGGTGCGGCTGGCAGAGGATAGGGGCTAGGGCTGCTTCTTATGCTCTCGTCCTTTCTTTCGAGAAAATGAAGACACTTGTTAAAAATATGGTATTTTCTTGCCTATTAAAAATCACAATATCCACAGATAAAAGTTGGGAATATATGTGTACATTTTTTCACCAATTCAGCAAAGGTGTAGCAAGCCTTTGGGCTGTGGTGCAGTGATACACACTGACCTTCATTTTGTCAATATTTCAGACAAGAATGGAAACAACTTTTGGGCCAGCCTACTCTGCTGTGACAACCATCACAAAGGGTGAGTGTATTTCACGTTTAGAGCTTTTCCCCAAACCACTATGTGTGATTCCTACCAGGTTTTTTGTTGTTGCTGTTTTACAAATGATAAAGCTGTAGGGAGAATTGCCGTGTTCATTACAGACAGGTGCCAAGGTGCTGTTTTTAATATTATGCAGCCCAAGTGTTATTTAATCATGGCATCTGATCACCAGGCGTGATGGAAATGAGCATGCACAGAAATTTTCTCCCATTAGGCAGACTTGACAGTACCACTGGGAGGCCCTTGCTGACTTTAGGATAGTACAACAGGGTTTTATACAGAGCTCAGTACCAAATCTTACTTATCCCTGTGACTTCTCATGCAATCATTACCAGCGCTGAAAATTCCCCTCTTCATTTTCTGCCTGACTGTGAGTCATGCTGGACACTTTGGTAAAACCCCCACGGCCATTTTTAGCTCAGACAGGAGGGGGTGCACATGTACCTGCTCATTTAAAATTCTCCTGCTTTGTTCCTCAAAGCCCAGCAGGTGAGGAGTCTGAGCCCTGACACGTGGTGTGAATGTAGGAAGAGGTCTGGCTTCATTTTGGAATAAAAATATCCTTACTTCGGTAAAGATAAACTGTGTCACTTGACACTGATTTAGATAAGGAACATCTGTCTGGGGGAAATGTTTGGATTACATTTGTGCAGGACTCTGGACTCTAGATGTTTTTGGACTCCTGAATATTTACATTCAAAATTTTACATAAGTAATATGATCTTTATACAAATATCTCCAATTTAATTTAGCATGCTTCCCTTGTGCTACAAGAATATCCAGACCTCCCTTGATCGAAGCAATTTTTGTTGGTGACCAAGATACGTGGGAGTATAAGGTTTCCTTTTAATAGTATTTTTAACCTATGGACCTGCTAAGATATTATCTGTGTTCTTTTCTGAGCAAGCTACCTTCAAAGGGCTGCATGCATTTCCGCGAGCAATGAGATCGGGATTATTCTGCCTGTACTGATATGTCCAGGTCATGCAGCAGAGTTGGGGAATCCCTAATATTTTGCTTTTCCAAGGAAGGAACACTTACAGCTACAGAGACTGACCTATAGTTTGCGAATGTTACTGAGGAGCCTAAATGCTTGTCTGTTTTCTTTCTTTCTTTCTCTCTTTTTTTTTTTCCTTTCAAGCTGACGGGACCAATACTTTTAAACAGCATCGTCGGACCCCATCCTCCTCCAGCACACTCACCTACTCCCCGCGAGATGAGGACGATGGCATGGTAGGTGTTGCCAGGAGCCCCTGTGCTGACTGGCTTAGCTGATGATATGTCAAATGCGAGATCTCTGGTGCTCCTCTGGACATCTCTGCCGCCCTCATCGTTCCCCTGCACTGCGTTATATTGGAAGCAGATGTCTGCACCGGAGGCAGGACCAGCTTCAGCATTTCCTGGCTGTTCCCATGTTGGTGCAGTGGGAAATCAGAGGCCACCTCTGGCCTGGGGCATTAGGCTGGTACTCGTTTTCAGACTGCTTGAAAACGGTGTGTGGTTACAAAGCCCAAGAGCTACAAATCCCACAGGCCTATTTGTGAGGGCGTACCTGCCTCCTGGTGTGAGCAGTGGGCTGTGGGTCTCCTGAGCTCGGGAGAGAACAGAGCCGCTGTCAGCGATGTCTGGGGCTGAGGCCAGGCACTGTGGGTCAGGGTGTTGGATGGACCAGCCAGCAGCACAGCTGGCCCTGCAGTTACAACCAGAAAATCCATTCCTACTTCCACCTCCAGATGGGGCTTCTGACCACAGGGAGCAGGTTTGAAACCTGCAGAGGGGGATGTCGGACACTACAGGCTGCTTGGCTCCTGGGGATTACATCACTGGGGTCTTCTCACACAAACCCATGTCTCCCGATATCTTTGCAGAAAAGCACTTCCCAATTTTATATCCAGCTTTCACATTCATAGCACTCATTTCTGAGTAACTTCTTTGGGGGGAATTTAGTGATCTGACGGGCCTCAGGGTTAGCAGCTTAAAGAGAAATTAAATCAGCTAAATCAATTAAACCAAGAACAGCAACGGCAGAGCAAACCTCAGGGAATGGATGGATAACTCTGAGAGGCCTTGACCTTCTCCTGTCCCTAGTGCTGCAGCCACATCTCATAACCACGAGCTCCTGTTTAGATTTAAGCATGTTAGTAGTAGACTTCAAATTAAGTAAGTGCATGTAGCCTTTGTCAGGTTACGAGACCCAGCTTCTGAGCCAGGGATGAATGGATTGCTGCTGCTGCTGGAGTTAGGCACTGGCAGAGGCTGGGGTCAGCGACAGCATGGAGCTGCAACACTTCTTAAAATAAATTTGACACCAGATTGCAAAGAGCTTTATTGTCAGCATCCTATAAAGTTCCTTCTGTTGCTCAGGGATCGTGCTGTGTTTTATGTGCACATGCGGTGGGGTTTGGTTTTTTTTTTGTGGTTTGGTTTGTTGTTTTTGTTTTTTTTTTCCAAGTCCTTTGAACATTTGCCTTGTGTCCTTGGCAAATGCAACTCTCCATCACATCGCTGACCCCACAGTGCTGGGCCACTGTTCCAGGAAGCCCTTGGCTGTCAGCACTAATGCAGTGGGCTGAGTGCTGTGCTCACTGCACCCTTTTCATCAGCTGTGCAGCTCTCACGGAGCATAAGTGAGGATTTTTCCAGAGGAACGAGAGGTGCTGGGGACATTGCATTTAGCCATGTCAGATGGAGAAGCTCCCTGATGCCTTTGAAAACCCCAGTGTCACAAACTGAGGTGTGCAGCTAAGAATAGGAGCAATCTCTCCTAGGACCTAGACTTGCTCCTCTTGGACAGCCTCAGCCCACCTTGCCTGGAGTGCTAAATATTCCTAAGCAAAAATAGCAAGAGGATTAATGAGTGGTTCAGGAAGCAGCCTGCAGTGTGAGGTGCTAACAAACCAGAAGAACCACATCCCTGCTCTGCCTGCTGCTCCAGACAAACTCCCACTAACCCTTTTAGGAAGCTTCCTTTGCTTTGTCAAAAAATAATCTGGGATTTCCCTTCCTCATCGTTAAGTTTTCCCTTCTCCAGAAGCTGCCAAGGGCTTGTCAGCCATCAGAGAGACAGCTGGAGACGAGTCAGCCCTCCTGTGACCTCCACCACCCCTTTTTCTTTTTTTTTTTTTTAAAGTTCCTCTTAATGAAACTAAAAACAAAGCACATGTTCTGTGTGCAAGGCAGGGATTATTGAGCGGCTGCTGTCATCTTTCCTGAAAACAGTGCCACGGGTTCCCAGCCTTGCTATGCCTGCAGGGAGCAGGAATGAGGACGGTACTAGAGCCTTCAGGTGGCGGCTGCTTTTGTAGCTGGCATGATGGGAACTACTCCTAAAGATTACAGCTGAATATTGGGACAAATGTATCCTAATGGTTGAAGAGCTGACTGGCTGTCAGAAGTCTCAGCTGTTTACAGGGAACTTCATCTCTGAATCAGAAGCTGGACTGAGTTACCAGGCAGCCCCAAGCCATCCATCTTCCATCAAAAGATGTTTGAGCACTCCATCTGCGGACTGTTTGAAGGTGGGCCTGATGTTGAGTGCAGAAATAGCCCTGGCACAGCTGTGGGGAGGTGGAACCCTTCTGACAGACCCTCCCAAATCCAAAGCTGGCTGAAGCAGGGCCACTTGTGCCACCGTGCCCCAGAACTCTTCAGGCCTTGAACTGCAAACCCTGCGGCAGGGCCCGGTGCTCCTTGCCTTTGGTGCATAGGGGTTCCCCCCCAACCCAGTCTGGACAGAAGCCCATAGGATGGGGGTCCTGGGGTCCTCACTCCCTACTATTCTGTTTGCAGAGCAAGAGAAGCCTGCGGTCAGTCCCCTTGTGCTGGCGGCTCTACGTGTGACTAGTGCTGCACAGCTCGGTCTAAACAGCCAGGCCAGGAGTGGGAAGCAGTGCAGGGACTGACCCCGTAGAGCTGAGGTCTCTCCAGCCTTAGCCTTGTTTGCTTGGCAAAAACAAAGGCAGCGGATACCTCGAGGGGCAGTGAATGCCCCCACCCACCTCTGCCATTCGGAGTTGTCTCCGCAGCCCAGGTGGAGTGATCTTTCTCAGCACATCAACTTCTCTCCTGCGTGGTTAACACCAGCATTAGCCCAGCCAGGACACGGAGCCCGCAGTGTTGCACGGGCTTAGCAAGGTTTTCTCTCACGCCTCTGCCTCCTGCAAGTGCTCTTGGGCTGCAGTCCTCCCCTCTCCGTTGGTGATCTACACAGGATATTGCCCTTGATAAAACTGCCTCGCTGCAGAGCCTGCCTTGGCTGCCCTGATCTCTGCGTCACCTCCAGAATGGCAACTATGCACAGTCATTCTTGTTATTCTAATAACTTCTGTTACTAGTGGAGGAAAATAATAAAATTAATGGACACGCATAAAATTGATTTACCTTGTTATAACCATTCCTCCTCAAGGTTTACATATTTAGCCAATAAATATGCCGTCTTTAAGAAAAGGAGCTTTATGCTTTAGTTTCTGAGCAGATGCAGCATTTCTGAGCTCCTAGGATCCCAGTATCATAAAAATTAAGAAGCAGAGCAGTGTGAAGAACCAGCAGGATCCTGGTCTGCTCCTCTTCTGCAGCCCAGCAAGCACTGCACTCAGACTGCAGTGTAGTTTGTCTCCGAGGAAGGCAGCAGTCTCTGAACCTCATCTTATATCTTTCCTTGCTGAATTTCCTGACTGCCCCACTGGCCTCCTACATTGCTTTTGTCCGTCCTTGGGTCTGATGTCACACACTTTCACCCAGGGCAAGCACAGAAAATGTGGCTTGGGAGGTTCAGATTGAACGTGAGGAAAAAAAAAACCAAAAAACAAAACAAACAAAAATGTTTTGCTCACAAGTTAGCGCAAAGCAGGAACCAGGAGCACCAGAGTCTTGTCCGTGCAGCTTTCCCCGTTCCAGCTGGGCAGTGCCAGGGCTGACCTGGTCCAGGGCCAGGGAGAGCCCCTCTCGGAGGGGGCAGCAGCGCCAGCGAGCTCCAGAGCTCCTTCCAGCCAGCACTTCTCAGAGTTTGCGATGAGGTAGGCTACGATCAAGCCACATCTAGGTGTGATGCATGCAGGTGCAGGCAGCCTGGCCATTGGGCATCTCTCGGTGCTAAGTGTCTGAAGGTTACGGCTCCATTCTCCCATTTCTTTGTCAGCCCATTTGTTCCGCTCCTTGAAGACCCTTATTGCATCTCTCTGCGCTCTTCCCAGTCTGCCAGCAGCAGCTCTTCCAGAGTAACCCAGCAGTGGCCGTGCTACCAGCTGCACTAGGCCCCCACGTCAATCACCCCACGGTCTGAAGAGTCTCCAGTTTCTCTCTGACGCCAAATTGCATCTTGGCTACACGCTGCTGGTTGATATTCCACCCTTAGAGATGTGCTGCTGGTTAATATTCCAGCGGCAGCATTCCCTCAAAGCCAATCCCAAGGCCGCCGCAACCAGGGGGGTTTTTGTTGATTGGTGCAGGCGATGTCCACTTAGCTCTCCCCTCCCGAGCAGGAAGCGACAAAGCCGGTCTGTTACTGAATTGAATAGAAGGAAGTCTCCACACTTACGCAAAGAAACTTGGCAGAAGTTAGATAGCGAGTGAAACAACAAGTGCTGCTGCTGCAGAGGTTGTAGGAATTGCAGAAGCTGGTAGCTGTCTCTGGGAGAGATTTACAAAGCTGTGAAGGATTAATTCTTCCAGACCGTTGCTTTGCGGTTGCGCGCGGTAAGTATACAAACGAACGCACCTTTGAGAGAGTTACGTGCGTGGAATTTCGATGTCAGCTTGGTTTAGTAAGCTAAAGCTGAATGATGCCTGTCCTGTCTCTGAGCACGGTGCAGTGTTCCCCGGCTTCTACGGGTCACTCAACGCAGCTTGGCAGAGTGGATGAACAAATGGAGCAGCTGAGTTTTGTGGAGGGGGGGACTGGACTTGAAGTCTCTGTGCATAGGGTTTTGGAGCCAGGGGAGTTATTTGGAATAACAAGAACTGGTTTTTATCTCTTTGAAGCCTCCGATCAGCACCCCACGCCGCTCTGACTCTGCTATCTCCGTCCGTTCATTGCACTCTGAGTCCAACATGTCCTTGCGCTCGACGTTCTCACTCCATGAGGAAGAGGAGGAGCCAGTAGGTATTTGGGATTGTCTGAAGGAGCAGTATTAGGAAGTTCAGTGTCAGAAGAGTAACTTGGTGGACTCTTGTGACTACACAGAGCTATCATGGGCAGATTTTTTATGATGTCAGGCAACTAAAAGCCTGGCTGTCAGGACTCCTGGTTTTAATTTTGTTTCCACCACCGGGTTCTGCAAGTTACTTTGCTTCCTTCTGTACCATTTCGCTGTCTGTAAAGGGAGGACAATGGTGAGGCTTTTCTGCTTCTTATAAGTCTTTGAAACATCATGTGTGATTCCCTGGCTCTGCTGCAGGGGGTTGCAAGTCTTTAGGTTGGTGGTCTAGCCCCAGGCAGCAAGACTAATACAATTCCCCACTGATTCAGAGCCCCATCCTGCATTTAGGGCTGCGTGGCACCCCACTGACTTGATTGTAAGCCCCAGGAGGGTTCAAGGAATTGTCCACCTGTGACTCTTGTTGCGGGAGAACACTTCTAAGCTGAGCTTAGCTTGTGACCCAGTAACTAACCCCAGACAGGGCACATACAAGGTCAGGCGGCATTTTGCCGCAGATCTGGGATAAAAGTGTGTGTTTCATGTTTAGGAACCCAGGGGGTTGTGTTTGCGTTTCTGAGAGCAGCGCAGGATGAAAAGACAGACCAAACTGCAGCGATTAATTTGCAATGCTCTGAAATGTGAAGCCCTGCTCTGGCAGGGAGCGGAGAGCTGTGCTGCTCCGGGAGGACGTGCTCAGAGCCCCTGCTCCGGCAGTCTTAGCTGGTAAATGAAACTGGAGAGATGGGCCCACTGCAGCAGAAACAGTGTTGTTTCTGCTTCATAAGGGCATGAAAGAGTCCTTCCTTCAGGATGTTTCAAAAATCCAAAAGGGCAAGCTGTTTTAAAATTGCTTTTAAGTTTCAGGCTTAGTCCAGGGAACATTTTTGTCAGCGCACTGTTCAGTCCAGCCAAGCAAAAAGTACCAGACAGTACAGCTCACGCAGTTCTGGTGACTTGAGTCACTCTGGCAAAGAAGTTGGTCTGTGCAGTTTGCTGTCAGGTCCTGATCCTGCCAGATGCTGGTGGCCCCCAGTTTGTGCTGAGCTGAGGGTCTCCAGCCATTCCCAAGTTCATTCTTCCCCTTCCTCCTACACACTGGAGGTCAGCAGATCCAGACAAAAGTTTATTTCGAGATAATGAAATCCTTAGCATGCCCTGTGCCCTGAGCTCCCCGAGGCTCACGGTTGAAGAGTTGTTTTGTTCCTTCTGCAGAGCTGGAGGCTCTTGCATTTGGACTAATCCTTGTGCTCTCTCTGCCCCTTTCTCTCCTCCTCTTCAGGAGCCACTGGTGTTTGCTGAACAACCGTCCGTGAAGCTGTGCTGCCAACTGTGCTGTAGTGTGTTTAAGGATCCAGTCATCACAACCTGTGGGGTAAGGCAGTGCTCTCCCAAATCAGGAGCGTGGGCTCCACAGACGTCCTGTGTGCGCTATAGCCAAGCCCTGACTGGCCCCAGTGACTGTCAGCCTTAGTGAGCAAAGAGGAGGCAGCCCCTGACTGGGGAAGCCCGGCCAGCGTAGGAGCAGAGACGCTGATGGACATGTGCTCTGAACCAGTCTGCCGTGTGGTATGTAGAGCACTCTGCAGTTAGCTGCTTCTTTAAGCCTTGCTTAAATCAGGCAGCTTTTCCCAGAGGAGCTGCACTGTCAGCCACCCTGTCCTGGCCCCGTTCGGTCTCCCTGGTGTGGCTTCAGTGAGGTCTAAAACTCCTCGTTCCCTGTCCTGAAGGGCTCTGCAGAGTGCTGCTGCCTCCTGGGCACCCCAGGAATGGCTGCTCTTCAGTTTTGAAGAAAGCTTCTCATAAAACAGGAATGGTCTGAAGCTTCATTTAGTTAACGTTTGCAAAGGGATTTGAGATCCTCTAATGAAAGGCACAGAGTGTTATGAATATTCTTCTGTATGCCTTTTCACTGGGATTTAATAGAACCTGTGTATTATTCCTGCTTCTGTGCTACATGTGAAGAAAGATGGCTTCGTGGCGGGCTCTCTAATGCTTCTGACATGCTTCTGATTGCTAGGATGGAACTGCAGCAACAAAAGCAGAGAGCAGGATTGTTTATTGCAGTGAGGATGCTACCCCCAAAGGTGCTACAAGTTGGTGCAGTTTCGCTGCACCATTTCAGTAAGCAGCTCTTCGTGGCAATGCTGAAATTACTGGTTAATACGGAAAAAAAAAAAAAAAAAAAAAAAAAAAAACACCACTGCAGGAAGCAGACTGGCTTCATTTGCAGTCCTGGTTTGGCGGCTCTGGAGAGAGCACCATGCAGCTGTGCAGGGCAGGAAAGGGCCGCGTGAGCAGGGCGGCAGATAACAGCTCTGAAGAGTGACTTGCAGCCTCTCCAGCGCTGCTGCCAAACGCTGGCCCTGTGGCCTGGGAATGTGGCTGAGGAGGCTCCAGGGAGCCCGGGGGGCAGGTTCAGGACCAGTGAGATGCTGCAGCCTTTGTTCCAGTCGTTATATTCATTAGCATGCTAGATTGTGTTTGCTACTTTATCAAGTTAAATTGTTAGCATACATTTCTGCTGTAAGAACAGAGACAGAGCGAGCTATTTAAAGTGGCAAAATTTACAGTGCATTTAATGGGTTTACAGACCAGCTGTCCCATCCACCTGACAGCAGGACAGCTTCAGCTACGTTAGAAGAGCTACAGAGAGATATATGTGATGGGCTGGCTGGCCAAGGACAGGGAGAGGCAAGGCTTCCCCTTGCTCTTCCCCTTGAGGACTTCTCAGGGAAATGAGAGGAACGGCACGGACTAAAGTGGAGGGTGAAGTAGAGAAACCTCATGCAGACTTGGAGGGTAGGAATATCAGGGCGCGGCAGAACATGCCCCTGGCTTTGGCTTGCACTGTGGTCGTGGCCTGATCCTGAACGGGGCAAACCCTCCAACCTTCAGTCCGTGTGCTTAATCCTCCTCAGGAACAGGCCCCGTGTTGCACTCTCAGCTGCCTGAGCAAGCAGCTGGTTTTTGCCCTGTGGTGCAGACTGGAGCGCGCTGAGCAGCCAGAACAGCTGCTGAGGCCCCTGAGCCACAGGCTTTGGTATCTCCCACCTTTCCCATCATTAGCCACGAGGAATAATTTGTCTGATAATGTTTACGGTGACACTGTTGTTCCTCTTTGTCTCCACAGCACACATTTTGTAGAAGATGTGCCTTAACATCTGGTGAGTACAGAACTGTTCCTGTGTGATGCAGCCAAAACGCTGTTCTTTTCTGGTTTGTTTGCTTTCACTTAAAAAGAAACCCACAGAAAGATGTCTGAAGGGCTTAAAACAAGCTGTCAGGCCCAGGCTGCCACTGCAGCAGTGAGGGGCTGGGGTGGCTGTGCAGCTCCGAGCTCTGATGGTACGCGCTGTAGCATGGGAACTAGAAAGCTGGGCCCAGCTCCTGGGCACAGGATGTTCTCAAATCCTAGAATATGTGATGGATAATCCCAGGATAATACCTGTCTCGCCCAGAGCTGACCCACTGATTCCAGGCAGAAAGCTTTCGGTGGCTGCCTGTCTAAGGAACGGGGGGGCCGTGTTTGGCAGAGACCCATCAAACCCTTCCTCCCCACCCCGTTAGTGCCAGCTCTCTGGCCACTGACTGAGCCTGTGCACAGCAGCACACAGAGCTGCTTTAGCTCACCCAGCCCTTCCAGAAACCTGATGGAGCCCAAGTGTCTGGCTGCTGGCCTGGCCTAACCCGCTCCTGCTTGGTTTGGACTCTCTGCTACAAAAAAGACTTTATCTGGCATGAGCCTGTGCCCCTCTTGGAAAGCCGTTGTTCAGCACAAAGCCAAGCCATTCGTATTACCAGAACAGCAGGCCCTGGGGAGTGCAGCAAAACAGCAACTCTTTCTGCCTTAAGGTGTTCATCTTCCACATGTGAGGGGTCCCTCTGCTTTGCATGCTAATTCCCAGTCACCGTGTTGTGCTATGTCAATCCCAAGCAACAGATTTGGAGCAAAACGCTTTGCAGTTGCAATCCTGAGTTGCTCAGTTTTGCTCCTGCCCTCAAAGCTCGTGTCTTTGCTTCACTGCAGCATCCCTGGCCTGCAGTGTGTCCCTCTGGGTGGGGGGAACGGGTTACGTGTGGGGCATCTGCTGATCTGGGGTCACCGCCTGTGAATACTGTCACACTTCATCAAGCACAAGGTAGTCTGAGTTAGGGTGGCCACCTTTCATTGGCAACGAGCTCAAATTATCATGGGTTAACATGAACTGTGACTTTTCACCAGGCCCCAACACAAACCAGAGATAGTGGCTTGCAGACCTTGTGTGAATATTCACGGCTGGTTCCATTGCGACCCATCTGGGAGTTGGCTGTCTTGGCCAGAGAAGGCAAAAGAATAAAATCTCCACACAGAAGCTCTTGGAAGTGCTCCTGCAGTGTCTCGGTCCTTGCTGACTCTCTCTTTTGCTTCTCCACCTGGCAGAGAAGTGCCCCGTGGACAACGCCAAACTGACCGTAGTGGTTAACAACATTGCGGTGGCTGAGCAGATCGGGGAGCTCTTCATTCACTGCAAGTATGGCTGCCGGCCTGCAGCCAGCAGCAAGCCCGCTGCCTTCGAGGTGGACCCCCGTGGATGTCCATTTACAATTAAACTGAGTGCCAGGAAGTAAGTGGCTTGTTACCAGCGTGCAGCCTCTCCAGGGAAAGGGCTCCGCCACCAGCAATCTGTTGTTATTTCTGAGCTGCCCTGCGGCTCCTGGGGACAGCGCAGCTCCTGCCAGCAGTGCTCTGCTGGGGTGTGCGGGGCTGTGGGAATGGGCAGGGTGACTTGAGGGGACAATTCTTTCCACTGTCTCAGTCTCAGGATGATGGCAGTTGGGTAGGTCTCAGGGAAAGGATGCTGCTCTCTGCTCCCAGATGAGCGTCTCGGCGTCGGGACAGGGGATACACTGTGGAAGCAGCCACTCACACCTGGGTGGAAACACTGTGGCTGTGATCAAGCAGAGACCTTGGGATTCTTTTTGTAAGAGGAGTTATCCTGGTTATATCCTAGGAATCTGCAGTCTATCTCCCTCCCCATCCTAAATGCATTCGCTGTCTTGCCTATCACCTGGCTGTTGATAGCTGTCTGAAGGCTCAGCCCATCAGCTGCAGATGTTTCCTGCATAAATGTGGCCTGTTACTACTCTCAACTTACTGGCCAAATGAGAATTTAAAGCTGTAATTTCAGTCTTGGAGCAGGAGGCTTTCGATCACCTGACAGTATCACAGGGCTGGTTTGCTCCTTTACTGATGATCTGTGTTGTTCCCATTAATTTTTGCTTATCACTGATTTTCCCTCCTTTTGCTTCTCTCCATGGGCAGGGATCATGAAAGCAGCTGTGATTACAGGCCGGTTCGCTGCCCCAATAACCCCAGCTGCCCACCTCTCCTGAAAATGAACCTGGAGGCACATCTGAAAGAGTGCGAGCACATAAAGTGTCCCCACTCCAAATACGGGTAAGGAGCTGGTGCTTTGTAGAGGGAAGGATGCACTGAGCTCTTTTCTGAGCTGCTTTTCAGCTACTGCTGCTTTGGGATAGCCCCGTGGGCTCTGAGCAGCTCTACCCAGTGCTGTGCACTGGCCCGAGGCTGCGATCAGGCTTGCAGGGCTTGCAGAAGGCAGCCCCCGAGCTTTTTGTTGAGAACAGGCAGGTCACGCTGCCCAGCTGCAAGCCCTGCTGGCAGCCGAGGAGGAGGGTGAGGTGCGTAGGCTGAAGAACCAGCTGGAGGAGAGTCAGAGAGCGGTGGTTGTGGCCAGAGCCACGCAGGGAGGAGGACGAGTAATTCGAGCACCGTGACAGTGTCTCAAAGCAGTCCTTCTCCCAGGGCAAGGGAAGTGCTGACCAGCCTCGGAGGGCTGATTGTCACCCAAGCAGGCGTGCGGCCCGGGCTGGGGGTTCCCTGCAGGATGCACAGCTAAGGTTACTGTCCAGAAGAGATGTCTCGGCAGAAGCAGAGCAAGGCAAGTCCTGACAGAGCAGCCCTGACTCCCTGCCGTGCTGCAGGCCCAAGTCAGCACCTGCGGAGGTCAGCTGCAGCTTTTTCCATTGGTTTTGACGGCTCTTAAATTGGACTCCTGGTGAGCACATGAACTGACACCACGTTCTGTCTCTTGCCCGAGATCTGCTCTTCCTTGCAGCTACCTAGACAGACAGTCGGGTGGTTCAGTTTGGGGCCAATGCCCTGGCTGGAAGAACGGGAGCTGCTTGGCCTCTCTGTCGCCCTGCAGTTGCCTACACCCAGCAGGATGGTGAACCACAGTACCACTGCTCCTGGTAGGAGGAGAGGAACCACCGGGGACCCACAGAGGCCTCCCACCTCCCGCCGAGGCGTGAGCCCTGCTCCAGCCAGCGTCTGCCTTCCCCTTGTAGGTGTACGTTCATAGGAAATCAAGACACTTATGAGACCCACTTGGAGACGTGCAAGTTCGAGGGTCTGAAGGAGTTCCTGCAGCAGACAGACGATCGCTTCCATGAGATGCAGGTGGCAATGGCCCAGAAGGACCAGGAAATCGCCTTCCTGCGCTCCATGCTGGGGAAGCTCTCCGAGAAAATCGACCAGCTGGAGAAGAACCTGGAGCTCAAGTTTGGTGAGTCTGCGCCGGCTGAGCTCTGTGGTCAGAGCCGTGGGGACAGGGCAGCTCTTTGCTAGGGTGGTGCATTTACAGGATTCATTCCATGTTTAAAACTGTTGCTGAGCAGGCTTCGGGAGGTTCAGATATCCCTTGCAGAAGAACAAATAGGGGTTCCAACTTCTCTGCTGCCAGAACATTATGGGACCTAATCCTGCAGTCGCCAGTCACGTGGCAAGTCCTAGAAATGTCTGCAGGCAGCTACCACCTTTCTCCTGTGATGTTTTCCTGCACAGTCCATGTGCACAGGCCCCTGTAAAAATCAGCAAGTCGAACAGCCAACAATGCAGCCATCCTGGAGCGAGCATGGTTCCTGGACACCTTTGCTGTGCCCAGCCCTGTCTTGGCTCTGAAATTCCCCTGGTTTTCAGCGTCCAAGTACAATTTGGGTTTGAGTAGCAGACACCCTTCTGCTTTTCCCTGCTGATAATAGCAGTGGGTTCTCCTCCCTCCTTTTTCAGAGGTTAGGTGGCAGCAGGTGTCCTCCGCCTGTTCCCCTGGACGCTGTCACCAACTTGGCAGTGACAATGGGCCTGTCCATCTCTTGCAGATGTGCTGGACGAGAACCAGAGCAAGCTGAGCGAGGACCTGATGGAGTTCCGCAGGGACGCCTCCATGCTGAACGTGAGGAGGGGGCCGGGCCCCGGGGTGGAGTAGGGATTGCATGCAGTTAGCTGGCTCTGCTACTAGTTAGGCTTCTTCTGCAGCGGGGGGAGTCTTTGGGGTTCCCTCCTGCTTGCTGCCTCTGCTCACCCCGGGTTTGGTTTGCTTTCACTGCAGCTGGGGTCTAGGGGAAGGATTCCTCTAGGCTGAGTTAAAAGCAGCTCAGTGAGCACAGTCTGGTCACTGCGTCTGGGCTGCTATTTTAGCTGGTTTTGCTACCTTTCCTCAGCCTGTTGCTCCTCTGGACATGTGGTAACAGAGGAAATGACCCCTGCAGCAAGGAGAGAGTCCTCTGCTCCGAAGCCTGGGCACTCCTCTGTCTTTTATACTAGCCAGGGACAGCATGCCCTTCTCCCTTCCTGCAGAGAAAGCAGGAAGATAAGCAGATCTCCGCTAACAAACTGGGAGTGAAAGCTGGCTCATGATTTTGGACATTATTCAAGCGCTGATGTTGGATAGACATTCCTCCCTAGTTTGGGCAGACTGCATCCCACTGGATGTACTGATTAGGAGGAGCTCGCCCTGGCTCACCTAAGCATACTAATGGAGAGGGTCGCCATGGACGCAAGAGGGACCGGACTCTGGAGGAGACTAAAAAAAGACCTTCCAATTCTCCTCCAGCAAAGTGGGCTTCAGGAGCCCAGCTGCGCAAGCCATCCCCGTAACCAATTTGATTATTTTTAGCAGTCTGGTGAATGGCAGAGCAAGGACAGTATATTTGGAAAGGTATTTCTGTGCCCACCTGAATACTGAAGAGTTTCATGCGGGGCTGAGATGCTGTCAGAGCCCCGTGGGCTCTGGAGGGAGGTGACAGAGGGATGTATGCGTAGAGTCCTAGAGCAGGAGACCCCGGATCAGAGAATGAGTCAGCTGCTGAGGGAGGGCCTTCACAGGGAGTCCAGCCCTGTCCAAGGCAAGAGTGGTTTCAGCAGTGGAGGGGGACAGTCGTAAAGCCGTCCCCAGGCTGGTCTTGCTGCAGCTCATGCAGCTTGTTCTGTTTTTCAGGATGAGCTCTCCCACATCAATGCTCGGCTCAACATGGGCATCCTTGGATGTGAGTACACCTGTGGTTTTCATCCTCTCGGGCTGGGTTTGGGGCGATGGTTCTATGAGCCCTTTTAGGCGAGGTCACAGATATGCAAAGTAAGAGTCATCACTGGGCGCAGCAGTAATTTATTCACAGGGTCACTGCTGCTGCAAGGAGGAAAATACTGGTGGGAGGGTTTGCCAGAAGCACTGGCCAGAGGGCAACTCCCGGTGCTGCAGGGTTATTGGCTGCTGGGGGGAGATGTCAAGTGGGCTCTGCACCTCAGGCCTCCCTAGGTGCAGCCCGGGAGTTGCATTAGGGAGGTGAGCCTGGGGCTCAGAGCGGTGCTGAGTCCATGAGCTGTAAGGGTGGGACATGAGACCTTCCAGCCAGACCAGGAGGGTCTCACGGTTCCTTCTGGCCTGTGACAGCGTGAAGTGCAAGGAGAAGGACCTGCTGGGCCAGTGCAGGGAGCTCGCGGTCCCCTCCGCACGCACCGTGACGTGGAGCAGCACTATTCTCCCACCTCTCACCCGCCCTCTTGTTTCCGTAGCCTATGATCCTCAGCAGATCTTCAAGTGCAAGGGGACCTTTGTGGGACACCAGGGCCCTGTCTGGTGTTTGTGTGTTTACTCCATAGGAGACTTGCTCTTCAGCGGCTCTTCAGACAAAACCATTAAGGTGAGAGCTTGCATCTTCTGTGTATCTTCTGCATTTGGAAATGTGCTTCGGGTGAGACAGAAGCTGAGTTGCAGTTTATGGGGTGGGGGGGGATGTCACTTCCCCAAGTTTCTCCCAAAGAATCTTAAATGATTCTTTGCAATTATAGTTGGGCAAAATTCTTGGCAAAGAAGCATGACGTGCTAGTGAAATCGAGAGACAAATAGTGGTTTTTGCATAAGCCCTGATTAGAATCTCATCCCTGCTGCTGCTGGTTTTGCTTTATATGGTGTCTAGGGCATTCAAGCCTATTTTGGCTTCTGATTTTGTTTACCCTTATTATAAAAAGTCATCTCAGGAAAAAACCCATTTCTCCCTGATCAGATGTGTCCTTTTTCCATTTTATGGCCTGTTTGTTTTCCTTTGTCCTGTTTCCAGTAACTCAGACTGACAGCACTGCTCCAGTGCAACCTAAACAACAGTTCCCAGCGTCGCCGTGGTGGCTGACGCCTGGGCTGGGGAGCCACGCCGGCTGCCGCGACTAGCCCTGCCAGGAGCAGAGCTTTGACTTAGTTTCTTTGAGCCATGGGAAGAGCCACGTAGAAGAAAATGGATGTTGCTGCACTTTATTGAAAGAAAACAGCTTTCTCCCCTGTCCTGGCTGCTCTGGGCGCACATTCCCGTGTTCCCTTTCCCGAGAGAGCAGCGTGTGCTCGGCGGGGAGGACCTTTGCAGTGCCGGAGAGGCTGTGCTGTGCCACGGGAGCCCTAGGACAGGGTCTGAATTGCTAAAGCAGGAGCCCAAGAGCTGCTTCCCTGGTTCCGTGTGTGGTGTTGGCCTGGGCTGCGGAAGGCAGAGCTGGAGAGGGCTGATGCGTGCCGCTGTCCAGTGTCTCGTTAACTTTAACCTGACCCTTGGCAGTAAATTTCCTTTCCTAGACAAGCTTATCTCTGCCTGGGAGCCCGGAAGGCAGGTGCTCAGGTGACAGCCTGTTTCCTCATTTTGGTGCTTTTGTGGCTTTGCTGACATCCTGCCCGGGTCCCCAGCTGCTCTGTCTGCCGGCGTGTGAGCCCCTGCTGACTTGTGTTTCCTGTTAGGTGTGGGATACCTGTACCACATACAAGTGCCAAAAGACCTTGGAGGGTCACGATGGAATTGTACTGGCTCTCTGCATCCAGGGGTGAGTGGAGAGGGACACCTGGCCCTGCGGGAGAGAGGGGGAGAGCGCTGGGGCTCCAGAGCACGCCCCTACAATTCCTATCCTTGGTCCTGCACGTGCTGAGATTGTACACGAGAGGCACATCTTGCCTCTTTGCTCTTTAAAAATTGACAAAGAGCGTATCTCTTTGGCTTCTCCTGCTGTCTTGGCTTCCTTCCCTGGTCACCAGTGGGGTGCCTGGCCTCCGGCTCGACAGACCAATCCAGCCTGGCCTGCCCACGAGACCTGGGCTCCGCTCCTGGGGCCGGTGTGTTTAGTCTTGGCCCAGTGAGGCTGTGAGAGTGCAGCTCCTCGCCCAGCATGGTGCCTGGGAACGAGCTGGGACCCTGCACGCGTTGCTCTCCCTTGCTGACCTCCTTTTGTTTTCTGGTGACATTACAGGAACAAGCTGTACAGCGGCTCTGCTGACTGCACCATTATTGTGAGTACCCAGGAGCCCTGCTCCGCTTCACAGTCGGGATGTGAGATCTACAGGCCAGCCCCGGGCTCTTGTAGAGCAAGGGACCTGCATCCTTTTTTCTACAAGGCTCTGCAGCTGCTGGTGGTGTAAGGCTGATAACCCGTGTGTGCTTTACCCACTGCCTTCAGCCAAGTTCCTCGCGGGGTGGATCTGGGTGATTCCTGCAGGCTGGATTTCCCACTCCCCGCTCCTGCGTGGGGAGCAGGAGGCTGGTGCTCTGAGCTGGGACAGGGCAGTTAGTCCTGATCAGGCCAGGAGAGTGGCTCATACAGGCGCCCTGTCCTGCCTCTGGTCTTGCCTGTGTCTGATTGCCGGCCTCCAGAGACAAAGGGGCTTCAGCACAAGGGACCCCCCCCCCGGCCCCTCACGGGCGCTCTTCTCCTTTGCAGGTCTGGGATATTCAAAACCTGCAGAAAGTGAACACGATCCGAGCACATGACAATCCTGTTTGCACTTTGGTCTCCTCACACAACATGCTGTTCAGCGGCTCTCTCAAAGCCATCAAGGTAGGGAGAGTTCTGGGGTGGCTCCTCTTGGCCTGGTTGGGGACCGATAGCACAAACTGTCAGGCAGCAGTGTCCAAACAGGAAGAAAGTGGCATTTTGGTCTGTAGGTGACCTTGTTGCTATGCTCTCCTGTGCCACACAAAGAAGCAAAGCTACACAGAGCAGCCAGCACTGTAGAGGTTTAGCCTGTGCTCTGTGCTGCAGTCAAAGATGTTCCGGGACCTGGCTGAAAAAACACCTTGTTTCTTCTAACTCTGTAAACCTGCGACTGCCCGTGGAGTATCTTGGCAGTTGCTGAGCATGTGTGTGTCCTTGGGCCCCCAGCAGAACTACTCAGACCATTGGGAATCGTGTCTGGGTCCAGAATTGGCTGAGGATTCAGGCTGCCTGTTTTGAAACCCCCTCCAAAGGATCTTGAATCCGCATTCTTTACCTAAAGCACGCCAAAAATCAGGGAACAGCTTTGCAAGTTGCCCTTTAAAGCCTTGGCTAGATTCCCTTGGTTCTGCTTCCAGCTCCTGGTGAGACGGCTTATGGGACCATCCATCTGTAAGAGGGCGCATGCTCTTTTCTTTATCTGGGGCCTGGAGTGGTTCAGCCGCCTAGAGAGCACGCAGGGCTGGAGGAGCAATGAGACAGCACTAGGCAGAAGGAGAGCTTGGGGCCTTTTGTTTTTGTCATCCCCAGCCCCTTTCTGCCAGAGGAGCCGAGAAGGCTCGGGGTGGCAGGGTGAGATCTGTCGGTCCCTGTGTACCGGGGAGGGTTTGGCCGTGGTTTCCCAGGAGCTGCAGGAACGGAGCTTTGTGGCAGGCAGTGGAAGTCCAGCGCGGTTCTTTACTGTGGATTTGGTTTAGGTGTTTCAAGCCCATGGCTCTGCTAGGGAAGGGTCTCTGCCGGTGGTGATGCTGGCTCCAAGCTAGCTCTCCCAGGCCCTCAAGGAACATGCTTATTCAGCATAGTTATTGTATTATTTTCTCTGCAAGTCAGTGGGTTCAGGGAATTCCCACCGGGCAGGAGAGCCAGCCCGAGGTTCCGCTTAGTGAGCTGGTAGGGCCTTTCCTTGCTGGCTGGGCAGGGCTGGGCAGCGCCTGGCTCCCGAGCTGGGCCCTGACCTGCTCTGCCCCACCACTGCCCCGGCCTGCTGAGACTCTCCTCCGTGTCTGGGGGGGGGGGGGTTGTGCTTTCCACAGGTCTGGGATATTGTAGGTACCGAGCTCAAACTGAAGAAGGAACTGACAGGTCTCAATCACTGGGTGCGAGCGCTGGTGGCTTCTCAAAACTATCTCTACAGCGGATCTTACCAAACAATCAAGGTGGGACCCTGAGACTCGCGGCAACTGCAAGTCGTTGGCTCTCCCCGTGCCTCTGCAGGTCTGCATTCTGCAGCGTGGGTTGGCGGAGCAGGACCAGAGGTAGCTGCCAGGATGCGAGAGCACGGCTGTCGCGTGTGCTGACGCGCTGGATTTTCCTGCGCTGATCGCATCTTTGCAGGCACAAAGGCCTGGCCTCTGGCCGGTCCTTGGGAGCGCAGCTGCCCGGGGGGGATGCTCGCCGAGATAAAAGGCGGCCTCGCAGCCGTGGCGCCTCACGCTGCCTCCGCAGCGATATCTGCGCTGACAGTCCTGCTGATAAGAGGAGAAGGTCACTGTCTGGCTGCAGCGTTACCATCAATCTGTGTGTGGTTTCCCAAACGCCCTCGATCTGTGTTGCCTCAGGCTTTGATGAATAGTTCACCTCTCAGCATCTGGGTGACACGAGAGAATTTGAAGCTGCCCTCCTCGGTGTTAATAAATCCCGGGTCATTTGTCTGCGTCCGTTTTCAGTGCTGTCAGGCTCTGGGTTGTGTGTGCACGTGTGTGCCTAGTCACGCACAAAAGGGTGTACAATCTCCACAACTTTTTCAGCCGGGATGTTCAAAGCTGGGCAGCTAAATAAGACAGCAGGACTTTGTGGTCATCAGCACTGAACGTTCCCAGCCGGACAGATTTGTCCTTAAAGATGTGATCTGGGCGCACGTGGAGCCAGGCTGACACTGCGCGTGGCTGGAGAACAGCGTCGAGGGAGCTCCCCCTCCTGAGGAGGGTCCCTGCATGGATCTCACCCCGCTTTCGCTCCGGCATCTCTTTCAGATCTGGGACATCCGCAACTTGGAGTGTGTCCACGTGCTGCAGACGTCAGGAGGCAGCGTCTACTCCATCGCCGTGACAAACCACCACATCGTGTGCGGCACCTATGAGAACCTCATCCACGTAAGGGCTGCGGGGTTTGGTGCCTTTGTGGGCTTGAGGTCAGGGGAGAGGAGGAAGGAGATGGGTGGCGTGGCTCTGCCGGTCCCTTTTGTGGCACAGCCGGGGCCTGGGCGCGCAGCACCCACTCTGGAGGTGTGCGTGGAGGTGGAAAACACCTCTCCGAGCAGAAGCTGGGGGGCCTGCAGCCCAGTGCAACCTCTGAGCCCTGCTCTCCTCCCGCAGGTCTGGGATATAGAGACAAAGGAACAAGTCCGCACGCTGACCGGGCACGTGGGCACGGTCTACGCCCTCGCTGTCATCTCCACGCCGGATCAAACCAAAGTCTTCAGTGCATCGTATGACCGGTCTCTCAGGGTACGTGTCCAGAGCTGTGCAGCTGCATCTGTGTATTTGACACTGTTCTTAAACCGGAGACAGCCTTGAGGGAAAGCGGGGAAAGGGATGCCCATCCCCACGTGCCACTTGGCCTCGTATTTCATTTGTGCCACTTGCCTCGAAGCCCGTGGCGCTCGGCATCCCCCGTCCCTCCTGGTGCTCGGGGTTGTGCCAGAGCCCCGTGCCGCTGGCGCGGCTCACGCCTCCCCTGTGCCCGCAGGTGTGGAGCATGGACAACATGATCTGCACTCAGACGCTGCTGCGACACCAGGGCAGCGTCACTGCCCTCGCCGTCTCCAGGGGCCGCCTCTTCTCCGGCGCTGTGGACAGCACTGTAAAGGTTGGTGTCCTCAAGAAGCTTCTCCTTGATGGTTTGGTCTCTTCCAGGGCTGGAAGTAGGGCCTTAAATGAGTTAGGAGCGGTCTTAAGACAAGCAAGGGGATGGTTCTCAGTGGGTGGGAGGTTTAACTCCAGACAGAGGGTGTTGTGGATGCTGGAGGCCCAGAGGGAAGGTCTGCACAAGGGTGAAGAGAAGCCCAGAGAGCTGCTCAGAACAGTCCCTGCCGTGGGTGCCTGTTGTCTCTCAGAACAGTCCCTGCCGTGGGTGCCTGTTGTCTCAGAACAGTCCCTGCCGTGGGTGCCTGTTGTCTCTCAGAACAGTCCCTGCCGTGGGTGCCTGTTGTCTCAGAACAGTCCCTGCCGTGGGTGCCTGTTGTCTCTCAGAACAGTCCCTGCCGTGGGTGCCTGTTGTCTCAGAACAGTCCGTGCCGTGGGTGCCTGTTGTCTCAGAACAGTCCCTGCCGTGGGTGCCTGTTGTCTCAGAACAGTCCATGCCGTGGGTGCCTGTTGTCTCTCAGAACAGTCCCTGCCGTGGGTGCCTGTTGTCTCTCAGAACAGTCCATGCCGTGGGTGCCTGTTGTCTCTCAGAACAGTCCCTGCCGTGGGTGCCTGTTGTCTCAGAACAGTCCCTGCCGTGGGTGCCTGTTGTCTCTCAGAACAGTCCCTGCCGTGGGTGCCTCTTGTCTCAGAACAGTCCCTGCCGTGGGTGCCTGTTGTCTCTCAGAACAGTCCCTGCCGTGGGTGCCTGTTGTCTCTCAGAACAGTCCCTGCCGTGGGTGCCTGTTGTCTCTCAGAACAGTCCCTGCCGTGGGTGCCTGTTGTCTCAGAACAGTCCCTGCCGTGGGTGCCTGTTGTCTCTCAGAACAGTCCCTGCCGTGGGTGCCTGTTGTCTCTCAGAACAGTCCCTGCCGTGGGTGCCTGTTGTCTCTCAGAACAGTCCCTGCCGTGGGTGCCTGTTGTCTCTCAGAACAGTCCCTGCCACAGGTGCCTGTTGTCTCTCAGAACAGTCCCTGCCACGGGTGCCTGTTGTCTCAGAACAGTCCCTGCCGTGGGTGCCTGTTGTCTCAGAACAGTCCCTGCCGTGGGTGCCTGTTGTCTGTCAGAACAGTCCCTGCCGTGGGTGCCTGTTGTCTCAGAACAGTCCCTGCCACGGGTGCCTGTTGTCTCTCAGAACAGTCCCTGCCGTGGGTGCCTGTTGTCTCTCAGAACAGTCCCTGCCGTGGGTGCCTGTTGTCTCTCAGAACAGTCCCTGCCGTGGGTGCCTGTTGTCTCTCAGAACAGTCCCTGCCGTGGGTGCCTGTTGTCTCTCAGAACAGTCCCTGCCGTGGGTGCCTGTTGTCTCTCAGAACAGTCCCTGCCACGGGTGCCTGTTGTCTCAGAACAGTCCCTGCCACAGGTGCCTGTTGTCTCTCAGAACAGTCCCTGCCGTGGGTGCCTGTTGTCTCAGAACAGTCCCTGCCACGGGTGCCTGTTGTCTCAGAACAGTCCGTGCCGTGGGTGCCTGTTGTCTCTCAGAACAGTCCCTGCCGTGGGTGCCTGTTGTCTCAGAACAGTCCCTGCCGTGGGTGCCTGTTGTCTCAGAACAGTCCCTGCCGTGGGTGCCTGTTGTCTCTCAGAACAGTCCCTGCCACGGGTGCCTGTTGTCTCAGAACAGTCCCTGCCGTGGGTGCCTGTTGTCTCTCAGAACAGTCCCTGCCGTGGGTGCCTGTTGTCTCTCAGAACAGTCCCTGCCGTGGGTGCCTGTTGTCTCTCAGAACAGTCCCTGCCACGGGTGCCTGTTGTCTCAGAACAGTCCGTGCCGTGGGTGCCTGTTGTCTGTCAGAACAGTCCCTGCCGTGGGTGCCTGTTGTCTCTCAGAACAGTCCCTGCCACGGGTGCCTGTTGTCTCTCAGAACAGTCCCTGCCGTGGGTGCCTGTTGTCTCTCAGAACAGTCCCTGCCACAGGTGCCTGTTGTCTCTCAGAACAGTCCCTGCCACGGGTGCCTGTTGTCTCAGAACAGTCCCTGCCGTGGGTGCCTGTTGTCTCAGAACAGTCCGTGCCGTGGGTGCCTGTTGTCTGTCAGAACAGTCCCTGCCGTGGGTGCCTGTTGTCTCAGAACAGTCCCTGCCACGGGTGCCTGTTGTCTCTCAGAACAGTCCCTGCCGTGGGTGCCTGTTGTCTCTCAGAACAGTCCCTGCCGTGGGTGCCTGTTGTCTCTCAGAACAGTCCCTGCCGTGGGTGCCTGTTGTCTCTCAGAACAGTCCCTGCCGTGGGTGCCTGTTGTCTCTCAGAACAGTCCCTGCCGTGGGTGCCTGTTGTCTCTCAGAACAGTCCCTGCCACGGGTGCCTGTTGTCTCAGAACAGTCCCTGCCACAGGTGCCTGTTGTCTCTCAGAACAGTCCCTGCCGTGGGTGCCTGTTGTCTCAGAACAGTCCCTGCCACGGGTGCCTGTTGTCTCAGAACAGTCCGTGCCGTGGGTGCCTGTTGTCTCTCAGAACAGTCCCTGCCGTGGGTGCCTGTTGTCTCAAAACAGTCCCTGCCGTGGGTGCCTGTTGTCTCAGAACAGTCCCTGCCGTGGGTGCCTGTTGTCTCTCAGAACAGTCCCTGCCACGGGTGCCTGTTGTCTCAGAACAGTCCCTGCCGTGGGTGCCTGTTGTCTCTCAGAACAGTCCCTGCCGTGGGTGCCTGTTGTCTCTCAGAACAGTCCCTGCCGTGGGTGCCTGTTGTCTCTCAGAACAGTCCCTGCCACGGGTGCCTGTTGTCTCAGAACAGTCCCTGCCACAGGTGCCTGTTGTCTCTCAGAACAGTCCCTGCCGTGGGTGCCTGTTGTCTCAGAACAGTCCCTGCCACGGGTGCCTGTTGTCTCAGAACAGTCCGTGCCGTGGGTGCCTGTTGTCTCTCAGAACAGTCCCTGCCGTGGGTGCCTGTTGTCTCAGAACAGTCCCTGCCGTGGGTGCCTGTTGTCTCAGAACAGTCCCTGCCGTGGGTGCCTGTTGTCTCAGAACAGTCCCTGCCGTGGGTGCCTGTTGTCTCAGAACAGTCCCTGCCACGGGTGCCTGTTGTCTCAGAACAGTCCGTGCCGTGGGTGCCTGTTGTCTCAGAACAGTCCCTGCCGTGGGTGCCTGTTGTCTCTCAGAACAGTCCGTGCCGTGGGTGCCTGTTGTCTCTCAGAACAGTCCCTACCGTGGGTGCCTGTTGTCTCAGAACAGTCCCTGCCGTGGGTGCCTGTTGTCTCAGAACAGTCCCTGCCGTGGGTGCCTGTTGTCTCTCAGAACAGTCCCTGCCGTGGGTGCCTGTTGTCTCTCAGAACAGTCCCTGCCGTGGGTGCCTGTTGTCTCAGAACAGTCCGTGCCGTGGGTGCCTGTTGTCTCTCAGAACAGTCCCTGCCGTGGGTGCCTGTTGTCTCTCAGAACAGTCCCTGCCGTGGGTGCCTGTTGTCTCTCAGAACAGTCCCTACCGTGGGTGCCTGTTGTCTCAGAACAGTCCCTGCCGTGGGTGCCTGTTGTCTCTCAGAACAGTCCCTGCCGTGGGTGCCTGTTGTCTCTCAGAACAGTCCGTGCCGTGGGTGCCTGTTGTCTCAGAACAGTCCCTGCCGTGGGTGCCTGTTGTCTCTCAGAACAGTCCCTGCCGTGGGTGCCTGTTGTCTCTCAGAACAGTCCCTGCCGTGGGTGCCTGTTGTCTCAGAACAGTCCCTGCCGTGGGTGCCTGTTGTCTCTCAGAACAGTCCCTGCCGTGGGTGCCTGTTGTCTCTCAGAACAGTCCCTGCCGTGGGTGCCTGTTGTCTCTCAGAACAGTCCCTGCCGTGGGTGCCTGTTGTCTCTCAGAACAGTCCCTGCTGTGGGTGCCTGTTGTCTCTCAGAACAGTCCCTGCCGTGGGTGCCTGTTGTCTCTCAGAACAGTCCCTGCTGTGGGTGCCTGTTGTCTCTCAGAACAGTCCCTGCCGTGGGTGCCTGTTGTCTCTCAGAACAGTCCCTGCCGTGGGTGCCTGTTGTCTCAGAACAGTCCCTTCCACGGGTGCCTGTTGTCTCAGAACAGTCCGTGCCGTGGGTGCCTGTTGTCTCTCAGAACAGTCCCTGCCGTGGGTGCCTGTTGTCTCAGAACAGTCCGTGCCGTGGGTGCCTGTTGTCTCTCAGAACAGTCCCTGCCGTGGGTGCCTGTTGTCTCTCAGAACAGTCCGTGCCGTGGGTGCCTGTTGTCTCTCAGAACAGTCCGTGCCGTGGGTGCCTGTTGTCTCTCAGAACAGTCCCTGCCGTGGGTGCCTGTTGTCTCTCAGAACAGTCCCTGCCACGGGTGCCTGTTGTCTCAGAACAGTCCCTGCCGTGGGTGCCTGTTGTCTCTCAGAACAGTCCCTGCCGTGGGTGCCTGTTGTCTCTCAGAACAGTCCCTGCCGTGGGTGCCTGTTGTCTCAGAACAGTCCCTTCCACGGGTGCCTGTTGTCTCAGAACAGTCCGTGCCGTGGGTGCCTGTTGTCTCTCAGAACAGTCCCTGCCGTGGGTGCCTGTTGTCTCAGAACAGTCCGTGCCGTGGGTGCCTGTTGTCTCTCAGAACAGTCCCTGCCGTGGGTGCCTGTTGTCTCTCAGAACAGTCCCTGCCGTGGGTGCCTGTTGTCTCTCAGAACAGTCCCTGCCGTGGGTGCCTGTTGTCTCTCAGAACAGTCCCTGCCGTGGGTGCCTGTTGTCTCTCAGAACAGTCCCTGCTGTGGGTGCCTGTTGTCTCTCAGAACAGTCCCTGCCACGGGTGCCTGTTGTCTCAGAACAGTCCCTGCTGTGGGTGCCTGTTGTCTCTCAGAACAGTCCCTGCCGTGGGTGCCTGTTGTCTCTCAGAACAGTCCCTGCCGTGGGTGCCTGTTGTCTCAGAACAGTCCCTTCCACGGGTGCCTGTTGTCTCAGAACAGTCCGTGCCGTGGGTGCCTGTTGTCTCTCAGAACAGTCCCTGCCGTGGGTGCCTGTTGTCTCAGAACAGTCCGTGCCGTGGGTGCCTGTTGTCTCTCAGAACAGTCCCTGCCGTGGGTGCCTGTTGTC